GCACCTGACAACCGAGATGCCTGGGCTTAGGGCTTAGGGTTTTTGATTTAGGGACGTGCCAGGCCCAAGAAGGGATGTGTAAACGTCCGAGTACTCTGAGGCCTCTAGCGCCTGAACCGGTACTCGTAGCAGTGAATGAAACCCATATAGTCCCCCTGAAGGAGATAGAATATGGCTTTGGGTATATTCTATAATAATAAGATCCCCATATACCCCCATATTCTATCTACTTAAGGCGGACTATAACCCTTCACCTTAAGAACTGACAGGCTAGCGGAGAAGGTCACGCATCACCGTCTTCATCCACCTCCACAATCTGGCCCCGCTGCCTGGGTTGCTATCATGATGACCGTTTTGGGTTGCCATGAATACAATGGAAACTACTATACTATTGGGGTTATATTGGGGTAATATTGGGATAATGGAAAAGAAAATGGAAACTATAGGGATTATAGGGTATACATTGTAATCCTCCTTCGACGACGACCACCACCCGTAGCCCGATCACCACTACCACCACAAGGGGCATCTGGCATACAAGCTGACTGCCCAGTGTGAGAGGCCTGGCTCATGCGGCCTTTCAAGGGTTCAGGCCTGTGAGTTTTTGGCAAGTGAACCTTAAGGGAGCGTGTGTATGATGTTGTACTCTCTGGCTTGTGGGAACCAAAAGTGTCAGCCTTCGTGTATTTCTGCAGATCTAGGGTGCCAGGATTCAGAAATCGCACGCGATCATGAGAAGTTGGGAGGGAGCGTGCGGCTGCAGCTGCACAGCGTGACCAATAATCGGAATTTCTGTGGTTTGAACCAGGGCCATGAGGGAACCTTGTGAGGAGCTTTGTCGGCTACCTGCCTTCACCTGGACTAGGAGCCCTGCTTCATGCCTCTGGGAGTGGCAATCTGGATACAAGCTTGCTCACACATGCAAGAAACATAATTACCGTAAAGGTTCAAAGATCCACATAATAGGGTTTTAGGGCCCAATATACCATTAATATTATAGTATTTGGGCCCTAACACCCTATTATTTGGGTCCTATATACCCCTATATAGTCCCCTTATATCCCTATATATCCCCCTATAACCCCTTCAAAGGGACCCTAGTATTTGGGTCCTTGAACCAATAGGTTTCTGCTTTGCTGCAACCAAACCACAAGACTCGAAACATGCATGTCGGCAGCAGCAGGCTTCTTGGCTTCTAAAATAAGAACCCCACTCGGTCTGCAGCACTGAATTCCATACAGACGAAATTGAGCTATAGTCTAAACTCCTTAAAGGGGGGTTATATAGGGGCCATATAGGGAACCATTTAAGGCGTTATTAAGGGGGAGACTAGGAGTTTAGACTATGGCTCAAATTGAGCCAAACCTATAGAAACTCGAGCTTCTGCGATTTCGCTGTTTGTCTGACACGGACTGGTGTCTGTGCTGTGAACCTGCCAAGCCGGCTTGGTGATCTGTACAACCCAGCATACGCGGGGGGTTCTCAAATTTATCCCAAGAGTACCTATCGATCAATAATCTTTGCAGGGTCCATGGGCGTCTTAGAATATATTATGGTATATTGTATGGGATATTCCGTTCTGAGAAGTATTATGAGAAACCCTCACATTGGCCATGGACAGAAGCTGCCTGCACGGTGCAGCCAAATTGGCTACAGGCCCTCTCCGAACTAGCTGGGTCTTCTCACCGCAGTCCAAGAATCCTCAAGGCAAGCCAGACGGTATGAGATGCCAGTGCCATGCAAAAGCTTAGATTGGAAACAGGATGTTCCTCCAAAGGAGCTGTGGCTTTCGTTTCCAGCTGCCTGCGAACAGCAGCATCACTTTGCCAGCCCTTAGGGTCTAGGCGGAGATCTTGAACGAGACCGTAGTGATCGCTAAGAAAGATGTCCCGCGGCGCATCTACTGCGCTTGTTGCCCACAGCTCACAAGGCTTGGATGGCACAAGGCAGCATCCCTCGGAAGCAAAGATGCGGTCTAGTCGCATTTTTCGCACCTCGCCAGGAATGTAGCGGGGGATCATCGAGTTCACCTCAGCGTCAAATGTAAAACCAGGGTTCCTGTCACCTGACTCGCAAAAATGAGTCTCAGCCCAGGCATCCAGTAAGCCATTGGCTAGCACAACACCGTCTTCGCAGGTGTAATGCAGGTTCAGGTCGCCAGCAACGAAGAAGCCGTTTAAGCCCTGCTGCTGCGCAAATGTCACTACTTGTGAGATCTGTGCTGCTCTGACAGCTTTGTTTCGCGGATTCTGGAAGGCCACCGTATGCAAAGAGCATACTGCAATCTGTCGGTCCGCAATCAGAAGCCTCCCGAATATGGCCGGTCTCTTCATGGCCTCAACCTTTAGTGCGTAGCAGCTCTGCAAGGGGATCTTGCTGAACATGACGCAGCCATGTGGCCCCGCAAAGGTTCCGTTGACTCCGCTTGGCAACTCAGAGACATAGTAGCATCTTCGTACATACTCCGAAGCAAGCAGGACACCCAGACTGTTGCTGGTTACCTCGTTCAGAAGCAACACATCTGCGTCCAATCGTGCAATCTCCTCTGCGAGTGCGGCGAAGCGCTTCTCGCTGTCGATCGCCAAGAGAACGGGCCAAGGAAAGCAATCCGCGAGGATGTTGAAGGTGGCCAGCCGAAGACGAGAAAGCTGCTGAATGGGAACCCCAGCAGTCGTTTCTGCCTGGCACTGGGCATCTTTCTCGGAAGCCCATGAACGGCCGTCCCACCGGTGCATGCGAATCACTCGCTCTGCCATTCTCTGTTGCCCAAAGAGAAAGCCGGACGCCTATGCCTATGTATCCTTGAACTTCACTTGCGGACATGTCCAGGCAGTCCACTGTTAGCACGCAGCATGCAAACTGCCGCAGGCTGCCCTTACCAGCAGCTTGCAGCAAGCGGGGACCCAAGCTGAGAGGATGTTTGTTCTATAGGGTCATACAGGGATTCTATAGGGATAATGGAGAAGAAAATGGAAACAACTATTTTGGAGCCCTAATATAACAACAGTCCTAGACGCAGAACCGCGAGGGTCATGCAGAAACAACACCAGAGGGTCCAAGTACCCAATAATCAGGTACTTGGGATTGGGGCACTCGTAATTGTAGTGCTTGTTTTGCGCAAATATAAACCCTACATCCTAAACCCTAAACCCTACACCCTAAACCCAGAACCCTAAACCTAGTCCAAGGCTTGGACCCTTAGCAAACACGGCCACCTCCGCACTTCCAAAAAACTTGTCACTCGAAAAGCTGAGTAGATATGGAGAGGTCCCCAAAACTAGGGGAACCATTTGGGGGGTCCCTATAACAAGGATTATAGTATTTTGGGGTCCATATTAGGGCCCCCGGATTTCTGGGAAGCCACCAAATGCACGTACACCACTGCCACTTCCGAATTTTGAAGCCCTGACTTCTCAAGCCCAGATCTTAAAAGGAAGCGCCGTTTCTGGCGCTCTTCAATCCTGCCGCACACCCAAAACCCTAAATAGTTCCACCCTGTGCCTTAATCTGCTTGGTGCCAGACCCTCTCAGCAGCTCCTCACCCCCGTCGGAATCTGAGATGAAGTCTTCCTGCAGGCTAGGGTTTAGGGTTTAGGGTAAGAACCCCAAACCCTAAACCCGAAACCGCGGGGGTTTTTCTAGAAGTCGCCTCGTCCCGTCTGGCAAGTCCCAGCCAGAAAGGGACCTAAACCCTGAACCTTCAAGGGAGTAAGACGGGGACTTCAAAGAGGGAACCCCAAGAATACGTAAAAATACTACCTATATAAAGACCCTGGTGTATTCCTACTACATTCTTGGGGCTCCTTGCTTGCGCCTCTTGGGGTTCCTGATTTTTCCCCCTTTAACCTTCAGGCTTTGGGTGGATTGTGTTAACGCACCCTCACCATGAAGTAGAGTTTAGGGTTTAGGTTTTTGGGTTTCGGGTATCCAGCCTCTCATCGTTACACAACTTCCCCACGATCCAAATACCCAGAGGGTCCATTTATATGACTATGTGGGAATGACAGGACTCATACTTCCTCCTGTCGTATGTTAATTGGGGGGCATCATTCTATAAAAATGACATAGCTGGACCGCCTGGGATGTCTAAGCTAAACTAAGAAAATCCCAAGCACATGCCCGCAAGGTAATTCAGGACGAATCGCACAATAGGCTGGGATCAGGGCTGAACCCTAACCCTAAAACCCTAAAACCCTAACACCCTAACCCCCTAAGCCCTCAGCCCTACAAGCACAAGCATTTCAGGAGTGAAGCATGAGAAATGTGGTGGATGGAGGAAATCCTGCACACTCTAGGATCCCTAATGTAAGGTTAATTACGCGGGTTATACAGGGATTATATAGGGATACAATGTAATGGGGAAGAACATGGAAACTACGATTTAGGATCCCGAATGTAATGTATTTCACAGTGTAAAGGACAATGCAAGATTTCCTCCGTCCACAGTTGCTTCGAAATCTACAGTCCCGGACTATGACGAAGTCTTCAACATCGAGTGTGTCCAAATCGACGACCTGGCAACAAGGCCGGCATCTCTCTCAGCGTATGGGCCTAACACATACAGGTTTCTTCTGGACGTTCCAGTGCGCAACAAGCTACAAGCATGTATCTTGTATTGGCAGTGCCTCATAGTCATCATCCCCATGATACCCCTCGGATATCCTTCGGGCTGACATCTATATAATACATTATATAAGATAATATGATATAAATTATCAGAATATCATATATGTGCATATATATATATACACATAGATAGATATACGGGGTTCTCCCCCTCTTTCAGCCTGCCTTTTACATATTTAATGCATATCTCATATCATGAAATGCTGAAATCACTGTCCGGAATACGTAATGCATGTGGGGATGCTGTGGTATATATAGACGCGTTAATATCAAAATTCAGCAGTTCACTTGGTGTTTATAATTCTTGAAAGTTGCCCTTCCACAGATTGATAACCTGAAATATTGACATGCTAAGTTTCAATAGTTCCTTCCGTATATTGAAATATTGAAAAATGTTGAGCTTCAATACTTGGAATGCAAGAACCAACCATTAAAAGATGTTGCGGGACTGTTTCTTAGAATCTTGGATTCCACCAGTATTTCTATAAGTGGAATCCAAGATATTCCAGGGTACGCTTTCTTAGAATCTTGGATTCAACATCTTAAAAACCAATAGGTTTGCAATATTTCAATATGCGCAATCCAAGATTCTAAGATTCTGAGGGCTCTTTCTTTTAATCTTGGATTCCAAATATTGAAGCCCAACATTTTTTGCAATATTTCAAGACGTGGCGCCCAAGAGTGAAAGATTCTGGGCCGACTCTTTCCTAGAATCTTGGATTCCAAAAACTGAAGCTCAATATTTTTCAATACTTCAATATATCGAATCCACGAATGAAAACTTTCAAAGATTCTGAGGACTCTTTCTTAGAATCTTGGATTCCAGGCACTGGAACTCGAAATTTTTCAATATTGCAAGATGCTCCAGATTCCACGAAAGTCTCCCCCAAAGTCTTCGACTCTTGAAATCTTGGATTCCAGATATTGAAGCCCCATATTCTTCAATATTTCAATATTTAGAACCCAAGGTTCCAGCAAAAAACAAAAACAACTTCGAATCTACTTAGAATCTAAAATCTTGGGTTCCAAATATTGAAGCTCAGTATTTCAATGTACAGAATGCCCTTAGGTTCGAAGTCTAAGTATATAAACTCAATATGCCAACACGTCATACCCTTTATCTTAATTGGGATATGTTCAAGTCACGCGAGGGGTTTCCAAGGGTTTAGGGAAAGGGTTCGGATAGCACTTGAAGTAGCTTGTTTAGCTTTTGAGGGTCGCAGACGACATTCCGATAATACTTGCAGCATACCATGTCAGCTTCTAAGGGGTTAGGGTTAGGTTTAAAAAAAGGAAGGATTCTGATTATACTTAGAGTATATGATGTTGGTTTCCAAGCAGTAGGGGAAAGTGTTCGGATAACAATTGGAGTACCTGGTTTAGGTTTTAAGGGTTATGCATGAAGTATGTACACTCCAGAAGGCCCATAGCGGCATTACTCAAAGCATTGTATAACATATATTGACCGCATTTCCTGCGTTATCGGAATTTTCACACATATTCATATACGCATATACACAAATGTCTGCTATAATTATATGGTATATATGCATACACCATATCGAAGTTTACAGACAAACGCACAGATGAGGCAATGCCTACCGCACGTATTTCCTCCATGTTCCAATGCGATCTTCATTATAAATTTGTTTGAAGGGCGGCCTTTGCTGCAGGTGGCCTGGCTGCCTATATGAATCTACATTACAATTGTGCAATCCTGGTCTCCTTATTTTCTTGCTACGAAACCTTTGTCAAATGCACTTCAAATTAAAGTCCTTGGTTCTTTATTCTATTTTTATGTCCCTGGAATTATGCTTAGAATTTAGCAAGCAATTCTCATATGATGGGCTCCGGCCTTTGTAAATACAATCTGTAGTAAATGTGCTTCGAAATCCAAAATGGAATGCTCATGTGCTGGGCTCCTGGCTTTCTGTAGATAAATCTTGTACCAGTTTAGTTTCGGATTGAAAGCAAAAGTCTCTGATACTGGCTCTTTCTTTTTCCTATATCGAAGCGTAAGAAGTTGGCTGCGAATCTCAAGGAAAATTCTTTGATCTGGTCTCCTTCCTCTTTCCTCCAGCTAAAGCAATTCTCGAGCCCTGGGCTCCTTGTTTTTTCTCTATGTATGTCCCTTACGATTTGTGCTTAGGATTGAATGAGGAATTCTCAAATCTTGGGCTCCTGCAATTGAATTCTCAAATCCCAGGCTGCCCGGGCTATCTGATAGCTCAAATGCTGGGCTCCGGCCTTTGTGTATATAATCCTTTACTTCAAACTGGAACTCTCACGTGGGTACAGCTCCTGGAAGAGCTAGTTGATAATACTTGGGGTATACCATGTTGGTTTTCAGGATTCAGGAAGGTAGTATATATATATATATATGTATGTCGTTCTTGATTACCCTTCAAGCAGCATGCCTCGAAGTCATCATCGATGTCGTCGTCGCTGTACGCATCATGGGATTCCGCGGCGGCGGCAGCGACCGGGGCGTGCACCATCTTGCAGAGCTAACTAGGAAGGGTTTAGGGCTTCTGGGGGGGGTCCCTAAACCCTAAACCCTACCTAGACCCTGGATGTCCTTCCTTTTTTGGTTTCCATCCTACATATTTATAGTGCATATCCCCAAAAAAGTAGGACATCCGGGGTCCAGGTAAAGGTAAGATGGGCCTGAAGCTTCTATGCGTGCATACTGGCCAACCCGTACTGTGAGACCTTCAAAATGCAGGCACAAGTGGATGCAGAAGAGAAGGACAGACTTACTGGAGGTTCGTAGTGAATAAGGGAATATCATCCCTATACCATCCCCATATACTATTTTCCCTTATTCCCTACTATAACCCCAACACATATCCCATTGTAATGTAATAGTTTCCATTTTCTTTTCCATCATCCCCATATATCCCCAATATATTCCCCAGCAACGCAAGTAAGGACAAGCTTCAGGTCGGAGCCACAAACTCAATGGGGTAGGGTTTAGGGTTTAGGGTGTAGGTGAACGCAGTGGGTCCAAGATATGGGGCATTTCCACAAAATACGGCCCCATATATAGCTCAGAAACGCTCTAACCTGTAAACATGTGTTCCACATTCTGCCACAGACGCTCACCTATTCTGGAATCCCCGATATAGCTATACTAGCACGGCGGTTCATATTACTACTACTCTTCGCGCAGTGATTGCTCTTACTACACGTACTTCTTACTGTGACTACTGTGGCTATTGCGAGTACTGTTGCTACCCAAAAAAACCTCAACTCCATTTAAACAAACATACGACAACGAGGCCTTGTTCTCAGGCGCTCGGGGCTGTATCCTTCTGCGCTCCGCTGCCGCTTCCTCACGCAAAGAACAAGCCAAGGTGGATATTGAATGCAGGAGCCTGAATCTCTGGGGTAAAAGGGTTTGGGTTTAGGGTTTAGGGTTTAGGGGGTAAACCTTAAACTAAACCCTAAACTGTAGGCAATATTTGGCCATTTCCTTGAATAGGGGTACCCTAATATAGAGCCCAAAATACTATAGTCCTTGTGATAGGGATCCAAAAAAAGGTACCCCTAACTTTGGGAAAGCCCCATTTATGCAGTTCATGGCCGAATGTGGGTACGACTTGTTGATTCAGAGCGCTGGCCATACGTAAATTCTCAACAGTATATATTCCCTTATAATCCTCAGGTCCTCGATATCTAGGCCACTACAATAGCTTCTGGACATTGGAGTTCCAAGAGTCTGCTGGGAGCCTGGAAGTAGGATGAGGTGTGCCCCAAACAAGGCGCCTTGCTTGGAACGTATACTAAGACTAAGCCCACCCCCCTGACATGCAACATTCCCATTGTCGTATACTATAGCATATGGGCGATGTTTATGATTTGCGGTTAGGGGCTACAAGCAAAGGGGAAGAGGGTTATAAATGCGAGTCAACGTCTAAACAAACACTGCAGGCATGCCTGTGCTACGGCCATCTGAGGGGTGCCATTTTGGTGATTGAGCAAAGTACTGTAAAGGGAAGATGTCCAAGAGATCGAACACACTGTCATATCACATGTCATATTCCGCTGTATTATGTTCGATCATACCGTACATACAGACTGCAGATCTGTTGTGGCCTCATCCCGCTGTCGCTCTTCACGTCGCTGTTGCTCTTCCTCTCGCCTGCAGTTGGGGGTGGCAGGGAAGACCTTAAGCGCTCACACCGCCCAGGGGCTCTGAACATCTCAAAACACATGAGAACACCCTGCCGCCGTCTGAGGCAACTTGCCGTCCGTTTTCAGCTGCTAAGCTATGAGGTCGGAAGGATATCAGCCCAAGGGAGCAGAGGTGCTGCTGTGCTTCTTAAGGAGCTCTTTGACCTTGGCAAGGGTATATGGATAGCTTGGAGGATCCTTCAAAGATGGGTCTTCCGCTTTCCACTTCCGGCCATACTCGTCCCATTCGGCCGCACATTCCTCCAAAAAGCGCTCCAGGGGATGACATGCGAGCTGCTTCTGCTTCTTCATTATTCCAAGCGACGCCTGCATCTCGCCCAAAGCCGGACAAAGCGCAGGTAGAATAAAGGCCAAAGGCAGAGAAGTCTTGGCATCTATAACATAAGCCGGCCGGGAGATTGACTCATCCCGCGTGTTCACTGGCAGCTGCTCGGAGTTTACCACTCTCCGCCAGTCTTTGGGAAACCACATCATGTGCGTTGCGTCCTGCGCGAAGACAATTGCACCTGGTGACAAGCTTGTGCCACCAAAGTTGCTTGCCTGGGTTGCGGTTAAGGAAGCGCAATCAATCTACCAGCATGTGGGGAACTACACTGAATAGATCCGAAAAATCTAAGGCTCTCTGACGATGGTCACACAACTACAGCCCTAAACCCCAAACCCTAAAGGCAGCTCAGTTGCATGGACACCTGGGTACTCACTTGCAGTGAAACGTCGATTGTCGCGGTCCGGCCAGAAACCGTACATGCTTTTTATCTTCATCAGGCGGTCCACCTCATTGTCACCTGGGCTTTGCGTTTATGACATAAGGCCCCACGGAAAACACATGAGTTAAGTCTCCTTGTACAGCCATGAAATTCAATCAAAAACATCTTGTTTGCCTAGTTCTATCCTGTTAATTAATCAAAAAGCATTATCTCAAACTGCCACCAGGTCTCCTACGAAGCCGAAGACTTTCAGGATTGTCTGCACTGACCTGGGCACAGAACTCAAATGGGGGTTTCCCAAAATTAGGCGTACCATTTTGGGGGGCCCCATGTTAAGGATTATAGTATATTGGGGTCTATAATGGGGTCCAGGTCACTCTAAGAAAACCACGTTGCCACCAATTTCAGTATTACGGTATCGTATCCCCAAAGCTATACAATCCTTGTAACACCTTTTAAGGAATCGCATGCTGTTAACTTGGCTTCAGTTCCTGAATATACTGGTTCTTAGCGGGGAGTAAGGGAATATAATGTCTACATGAACCTTATATATAGCTTATTCGCTTATTCTCTACTAAGCCCCAGTAAGTAAAGCATGTAAAGCAACCCTAAACCCTAAACCCTAAACCAACCCAGTGGCAGCTCCCTACCCGACTCCAAGTGGACACGCCCTTCTGAGAGTCGCTTCACATCATCCACGATAACTTCGCACTTGCCCATGCCTAGCCGGGTTATATAGTTTCGGGTTCAGGGTTTAGGGGGTGTCCGGCAACGTACATATATAGAGGGATGTACAGAGTTTGGAGTAGTGAAGAACCTAATGGAAAGTCACAAAGAAAATGACATGGAAACTGGTTTATAAGGTGATCTGTTGAACATTTACCCGAGGGCTCTGATGTAGTTCGTTGTTCATTCCTTATCATTTTTTGTGGAGTTTGATTCTGCACATTAACATACTACCCCAAACAGACCTATATAGGAGGGTCTGGGTAGTTGGGAGTTGGGGAAATGGATCCTTACAGTTGCCCTCGATCATCGTTACTGCAACCCATTCCCTCAACCCCCTAGGGGTCCAAGGACCCAAATAATGGCGGTTTTATGGCCCAAATACTATAATATTGATGGTGTTGATCCCTAAAACCCTATTACTTGGGTCCTTGGACCCTTAGGGACCCCTACCAAGCATGGGCAAGATGCTGACGGCCAGGAAATACACATCTCCAATGCCAAATCGAGACTTCTGCGCGATATGGGCATTCGTCCGCGCAGAATTGGAAATCACTGAGTGGTAGGTCCATGGGTCAAAGCCAATCATGTTATAAGCCTCACTGTTGGAGGAAAGGGGTCCCTATCTGATGTAGTCCCTACATGGTAGGTTGTCCTTTGTTCTGTTAACTTTGTGGGGGGTTCTCACTGTAAATGCGGTCCCTACTAATTATGAAGCGCACTCGAGAAAGGGAACACAATTTTCACGACCCTACGACACAATCCCCAGAATAGCCCCAATGTTTCAATGATTCAGTTTCGACAATGATAATAATTATGCCTCTTTACCCCCGACAGCAGTCCCAAATTTCGTCGATTTTAACCTTCCGCTAATGTAGACCCGTGATTAATAAACCCCCTCCTTTTAAGGGCCTTAGTCTTAGGATCCCTATTATCATCCCTATTAAGGAGGGGGGGGGTGATTAATAAGGGGTCTCCAGTATGAAGCCCTAAACCCTAAACCCTATAGATCCTAAACCCTAAAACCCTAAACCCTAAAACCCTAAACCCTAAACCCATGAATCACCGGGAAGAAGCCGGCTCCATGCTCTCAATGAAGAGCGGAGCGGGGACGGGGGGATCTGATTGATTCACAAACCTTGGTTGCTCGTCGACCCAAGAGCTCCTACCATTAGGGTTTTGGGGTTTAGGGTTTAGGGTTTTAGGGTCTAGGGTTTAGGGTTTAGGCTTTAGGGTCTAGGGTTTGTTATATATGTTTTCTCGATAGAGGATTGGTTTATACTACTGTTGATGGAGGAAATCTTGCACCACCTACAGGCCCTAAAGCACTGTAATTCCTGGGACTTTAGGGACTTAAGGTGGTGCAAGATTCCATCCATCAACAGTACCATTAGGGTTTAGGGTCTAGGGTTTGCTATATATGTTTTCTCAATAGAGGATTGTTATATACTATCTCCCAAAGGAACTACATAGCAGGCTCTGGAAAACCCCCATTTGGAGACACGCGGCTGCTCCCTTATACTCTGAAAAAGAGAGACCCTGAGAGCACTATAATCCAAAAGTTATAGGAATATATGATAAAGTAGCTTCCATTCTAATTTTCCATTATCCCTATATAACCCCCATGTACTATAGTAGTTTCCATTATCCCTATATAACGCGCCAAGAAACCATGAGCAGACCCGAGGACAGGCAAGGTTCTTTCGCCTGCAGACCATGTAGATCTGCCCGGATGAGTACTCACAGCAAGTACGGATATTCTCCACTCCAAATGCTCCGTGGCCGGCTATCATGACGGACTTACCCCGAACTGCTACATCGTAATCAATTGTATCGAACATGGCGTACTCGATCATGCCGCCAAAAACATCCTCTCCCTTGTACTCGTGCTGCCGGGGAAAGGAGAGGTTTCCAGGGTACATGAACACGCAGCTCACCGTCATCTGCTTGAGGCCTTTTCCGGTGGGCTCTGGAGGGAGGACTCCTGTGTAGTTTCGGGTCATTTCCAGGCTGACTTCACCCAGTGGCCCGCTGTCAGAGCTGGTGCCGATCACCGAAATGGCCTTCACGTTCGTCTGGAGCTGAATGTAGGGCGTCAGCCCATAGTCTGCAGAGACCTTTGCGAAATGCTCGAGAAGTTCATCGCGAGTTGGCCATGTGGACATGTCTTTCGGCACAGGATTCATCTCATCATACTGCAAGTGGTAGGTTCCCAGCTCAGTCTGCAGCTTAGAGGTTTTATTCGCCTGGGAGATCCAGGATGTTCCTCCCACCTTGTCTCGGCGATCCACGATCACGAAGTTAGGGTGCTCATGCTGAAGCAAGTAAAGGCCATGACGGAGCCCGATATGGCCAGCACCAATGATCAGGAATGGGTGTTCATACTCCTGGGTTGCTGCTACAGAACTTAAATCAAGTTACTATAATGAGGACAACCTACCTTTTTACCTTCTCTCCCTAATACGGTAACTTAATCAAGCTCCCCCTAGGGATCCAAGTATACAAATAATACCTACATTGGGCCCCAAAGTCTGTAAATATTACCTACATTGGGCTACTTGGATCCCCTACACCCTAAACCTAAACCCTAAACCCTAAACCCACCCTAAACCCTTATAACAGCAACCCAGACTCGGCTCGCTGTGGCTTGAACGACTTAATCCCTTTGACGCAGACCTTCCGCGACACCTCTTCGTGATCCATTTGCTTCCGCCAATAGCCTCCCACTCTGTTCAGGAACTCTAACCTGGGTTTGGTACTTGAAGGGTTTAGGGTTTAGGGTTCAGGGTTTAGGGTTTGGTACTTTGAAGGCCAAAACTCGGTTTAGGGTTGAGGGCTTAGGGCAACCTGGGTTGTACAGTTCGTGGATAGGTTCCTTCTACAACAACAAAGGAAAATTAAGATCATCCCAAACCCAGTTTCCATTTCAAGTTCCATGTTCTGTTCCCTTTGATTCTCCACTACTACCTCTTCAAGAACAGCAAGACCTAAACCCTAAACCCTAACTATCCCAAAGTGCCACCCTAAACCCTAAACCCTCAACCCTAAACCCTAAACCCTTAACCCTAAACCCTAAACTCTAATCCCTAAACCCTAAACCCTGTAGTGCCACCCAGTAACTCATTCGTTAAGATACCCAGCTTCATGGCCAGTAGCTCCTTCAGCTCAACCACTTTGGTGCTGGTGACTACTGGCACTGCCAGCACCTGGCATACTTATAGGGTTTAGGGGTTTAGGGTTTAAGCGTTTAGGGTTTAGGGCTTAGGGTTTGGGGTTTAGGGATTAGGGTTTAGGGTTTGGGGGTTTAGGGTTTAGGAGTTTAGGGTTTAGGATTGGTTGGGTACTGCCCCCACCCAGTAACAGTCTATATTAGGGGTCCTACTAAGGGCTGTATATAACCATGCTATAATGATTATCCAACTGTTACGGAGAGGGGGCAGTACCCAACTTATTGGTGGCTTAGGTAGAAGGGGGGGGGGTAGGGTTTAGGAGCAAAACCCTATACCCCTAAACCCTAGACCCTTAGAATGTAGGAAGTACCGCTAAACTCTCAACCCCTGAACCCCCAACCCTCATGGTTAAGGGAGTAAACCCTAAACCCTCCAATTCCAGGGAGTGAGCCCTGCTAAACCTTTATGGGGACTGTAGAGGGATTGTAGAAGGGGTCCACTTCCCACACCCCATAAGCACGAGTCAGACTGGGGGCATTGGACAAGGACATGCTACACGTTGGTCTGTTGCATATTCTTTGCCATTAGGCTTAGGGTTTACGGGGTTGACGGACGAAATTCTTCTATGTCGTGATCAAGGATTATCTCGCAGTTGTGCCAATTCTCTACAGCCTTCAGGGCAATGCTTTTGTCCATCGACACGATGACCATTGGTGTTGTTGTGAATGTTCCTACTCTTACTGTTATTATATTACTTTTTACTACTGCTAATCCTGCAACTCTTGCTGTTGTTCTTAATAGCAGTCCTGTTATAATTAGGTGTGTCCACCTAAAAGGATGATGTGCTTAGCTACGATTTGGCTCCCCGAACCTCCCCTGTGCCATGGATGCGCAACTCAGTCTGCGCAGGCGTCTGACTGGCCGGCTGGATGCCTGATTAGGGTTATATGGGTATAATGGAAAAGAAAATGGAAACTACTACATTCTAATCTTAATAGGGTATATATCGGGGATATATGGGTACAATGGAAAAGAAAATGGAAACTACTATATTATAATCTTACTAGGGTATATATCGGGGATATATGGGTATAATGGAAAAGAAAATGGAAACTACCATAATGGGTTATGTAGGGTATAGAATGTGTGGTATATTTGGATCTGCCCCAAAGTTCCCGTCAACAACTGAACATTGAAATCTACGATCCAGATGTCTAGCTGTCTGATCAGATGTATTGCTAATTTTGGGTTTAGGGTTTGGGGTGTGTATATACATCTATATGTATATGTATATGTATCTACGTATCCCTAACCCTTAACCTGTATGGATCGATTGATAGACATACGGGCTCCAGAGAAGCATGTTGTCATTCGCGGGATATTTACGCGGTTTGGAAAGTATGTGACATCATCCCAGTCAATATACTTCCTACGACTACATACAGGAGTTTCTTTTTATGTATGCATCCCGATGCGCTTAGACATATTATGGATCCACCTATGTAGTCACATATAGAATACAACGTACTAGGACAATATACACTATACAACAACATAATATGATCTTGTGTAATGTACCACAATATGTTTGTATTCCTAAACTCCAAACCTTCGAACCCTGAACCCTTAGCCTTCAAAGCCTAGATCCCAAACCCTCCAACCCTAAACCCTATGAGGTTGCTTTGATTCGGATGCCTGGGCCAAGGATCTTGTACTGCACCATGGCTCAACTCAACAAAAAAAGGGCCCTTGAGACTTCCTAGAGATATTGTGGGTGGAAGAAATCTTGCACCACCCTACCTGATACGTTGGGAGTTACAGCGTCAAGAGATTCACCGTTTGTGTGAACTTTTTACTTGGGAATGCCCAATTGAGAGAATTTGGGGGGATCCCTAAAAAGGATTGCATGGGAATTATTATGAGAGACCCCCCGAGCTGGATCCAGCTGAGCCCACACGGCGGCGAAGGATGCAAGTTTTGCACACGACCCCTGCCCAGAAGCCCCACGCAATACTCTCATGTAGACCATGACCTCCCTCACATAGGGTCTAAGTCTACTTGGTAGTTTCGCTGAATTGTGGAGCCCAACACAAGCCCTTAAGTACTATGATCCTTATTATTGGGACCCTCAAGAGGGTACGTATAATAGTGGGAAACCCTCACTTACTGGGACTAGGACCTCCTGATAGGGATTAGATGGCATGTGTTCCTTGTTGTGCCTTGTTCGGCCCACCTTTTGCAGCCTGGACACTGGGTTTAGGGTTTAGGGTTTGAGGTTATGATGACCAGAATGGGTTCTGTAGGAATTAGTCGGGAAATATGATATAGGGATAATGGAAAGGAAAATGGAAATATACTATAAAGATAGCTACCTCTGCTGCCTTCTCCCGCTCCGATGGCCAGCATCAAAGAATGCGAGCTAGTAATCATAAGGATAGCAATCTTTCAGGCTAAGCAATAGATAGCTAGCAGCAATTATTGTAGTTCAATCAGTCGGTCATAGTCACAGAGCCATGCAACGTTACTTGCTCCAAAGTTACCGGATGTGCACTGAAATGGAGTAAACACAACACGGAGCAAATAAGTAGTACTAGAAGTAGCCGTGTAGTACTTGTACAGCGGTACTAGCAGTAGTAGCAGCAGCAGGAGGAGTAGTAGTAGTGGCACCAGCAGCAGCAGTAGTAGTAGAAATACTAGATTAGAAATAATAGTAGCAGCAGCAAGCAGCTGCGGAGCAACTGCCATCACCCCCAAACCCCCAACCTCCAACTAACCGCGTGGCTCCAGCAACTATTGGAGAAAACCCTTTGGCCGGCCTCCGCTCCTCTTGTCGTATCCGCTCTTTGCGCTCGCGCTCTGCCTTTAGCTCGCTTAAAGGGACTGCTATGCAAAGGCACAACGTGCATCCTTTGTTTTTTGTTGTCTTCTTCGGGGGATTGGGGTGGGCTGGGGGGGGGGCGTGTGCAATGAGGAAACTAAACCATTCTTCAGAGGAATATGTTCAGCCTTGCTCTGACAACCGTTTCAAGATGCTTGGCAGGGATTTAGCTCAAGATAATCTACCCTATGTAAGGTTCAGCATAAGGTCAGCTACCCCAAGCCCCTAAACCCTGAACCCTGAACCAAGTAAGAAAGACTTCTCAAACAGACTCCAGCTGCGCGCTCTCTCTCCGCGCGCTCCCGCTCAATGCGCTCGCGCTCAAGGCGCTCTTTCTCCGCCTGCTCCCGGCGAGCTGCCTGCACTGCTTTGCATTGATGCTATGGCGAGGTTCAGTGGCAGTTGCAAGCATCTAGGGCTATGACCACCCCTCTTCTCTTCCACTTGCAGACCCCACCTATGACTACATGTGAACCTGCAACTAGCATCGCTACATTCCCTATGCCGCTTTTAACAGCATCGCTACTCGTGTCAGTTTAGCATGGTTCTCGCCATACTTCCCAACACTTTAGGCAGTGGTTGGGCTGCAAACGCAAGGGGCAGGAATCACTGCCGGGCTTTCAGGTTTGGTTTGGGGTTAAGTGTATTTATATAAGGCTAATGGAAAAGAAAATGGAAACTACTACATTATAATAGGGTATATGTTGAGGTTATATTGGGATAATGGAAAAGAAAACGGAAACTACTATGTTTTATAGGGTTGTATTGGGGGGAGCCTTGGGGGTGAAAGGGTGGAGGAGTACGAGCTCTATCCAACAGTATTGTTGCTCATGGAGGCTTCATAACTTTTGGTTTGTTGGAGGGTGAAACGAGACCTCCCCAAAACTCTCTAAACCCTAAACCCTAAACTCCAAACCCTAAACCCTAAACTCTAAACCCTATAAACCCTAAATCAAGACATGAACTCCAAGGGCACCTCGGCCTTCTCCTGCTTTTCCTGAAGTTCGCCTGGCAGCTGCGACTAGTAGCCGGAACTTGCCTTGTACGAGAGGACCTGGGGGCCTAGCTAAGTTGCTCCCCACAAAAACCACACTGTCAGAGCATTGTAAACCCTAAGGGTCCAAGGACCCAATTAATAGGGTTTTAGGGATCAATACCGTCAATATTATAGTATTTGGGCCCTAAAACCGTATTATTTGGGTCCTTGGACCCTTAGGGAAAGAAACTACCAGCATCAAGGAATGGGAAACCTTCATTTCAGTGGACTCATGGAGCTTGGCTCAGAACCCGGATCCTCGCATCGTCAATTCCGGCTTCGAAGCAGCAGGCGACAAGGCATTCGTTCGGTGCTGCAAGGTGTTTAGGGTTTTTGTCTGCCTCAATCCTGACCAGACCTCAACTATCTTTCTCTCATTCTGCTCTGCCCTCAGCTCGCCACGCGGAACAAAAACTGAGGCCACACCCACCACTAGGGACCTTGTAGTCGCCCGTACTGTTGGCAAGCCGGCGAGATTACTCAAACGATTTCCGCAAAGGCTGCAAGAACTGCAGCATCACCTATTAAGGGGAAAATTAGGGGAACCCAATCTAGACCCCTAAACACTACAATCCCAATTATATATTGGGCCCCCCAAAATGGTACCCTTAATTTTGGGAAGCCACCGTATTATGTTCTTCAACTGCTTGCGAAGGAGAAGCAGGTGTCCCTTAACCATGCCCATCACAATCACATGATTAGGCAGATTGTACTTCCTCCGGGTAAACCCTCGAAGCCCTTAGACTTCTAAAGCTGCACATCCTAAACTCCTCACCCCCAAAGATCGAACTTGGGCGCCAAACAGCCCGAACTGGGTTCCGTTTATAGGCTCTAGGGTCCAAAGTGGCTATTTTTTATGTCGACGTAAAGCCCCAAGCAAAAACCTTGGAGCACTTGCGGGGCTCTGACGCTCGGCGCGAGCGATAAGGCCATGCTGGCTATAACCAACATCCTGGTGCTTGCTTCCCAAAACAAGGGCCCCATGGGGGATGTAGGGATGCATTGGATTGTAGAGGGAATATTAAGGTCACCCTTATGTACGGGATCATCTCGGGGAACCTTTTGAAAGCACCCATTCAATGTTTTCCTTCTATGGTGGCACTATGGTTCCAATCACAAAGTTCCATGGCTATCGCCATTACGATGTTCTACCTACGGGTGACGACATTGAGTCATCTAGGGAATCTGGGGGGACCATGTTTCTGCGGAACTGAAGTCCATACCGTGAAGAGCCCAAACCCTGGGCCGCTTCTACTCCCTGGCAAAGGAAGAATGAATCCCGGTAGTAGACACTGGTGGGAATGAACGGTGAAAATCCGAGTTGGGTATACATCGGGACTACCACATGGATCCGGTAACAAATTCCCTCCCAGGAACACCGCACTTCCGATGTTTTCTGGTCGACTTTAGCGTACCTTACTATCCGATGTTAGTGCCGGTAGTGCCCCCTCAAGCTAATTAAACCTTTGCCTCCACAGAGGACGCGTAAACCCCATGTCTTTGTAGGCCATCATGACAATCATAACCATCATCGTCATCATCATCATCGTCGAGGTGCGGCAAATGCTCCTTGCCCTCCGTACCCTAAACCCTGAATTAACGACAAAAAATGATTCAGGGTTGGTCTCCTCCCACCACTGCCCGGTTGACTGCCTAGTTGCCTACAATCCGTGCCCCGTGCTTCTTTACCATATGTAGGATCGCAACTTCAACCCAGGGGGCCCCAAGAAAGGCTCTAGGTAGTGGCCTGGGCGCTTCCCTAAACCATAAACCCTATATTATAGCCCTATAGCCTATATGCCCCTATACACACCAATATAATTACCCCTACACTCTATATTATAGCCCTATAGTAAACCCTATATGTCCCTATATACCCCAATATATGCTATAGTCTAAACTCCAGTATCCCCTTTAGTATCCCCGATAGAAATCCCCTATAACCCTCCCTTAAGGAGTTTAGCCTATAGCTCATATAACTACACCCCCACAAGGGCCGCCGGTCATCACTTAAGCCTGGAAAACTGAGCTTGCTGCTCCGAACCCCGCTGCTCCGTATCCGAAACCTGTTGCAGACCTGCAGTGAAAATAGTAGCCCCGAAATGGGGTAGCAATATAGAAAAATAGTAGTAATGGTAGTTTAATAAAGGTAGTCGTAATGGTAGTAATATTTGTAATAATAGTAATAGCAGGGTTTAGGGATTAGGGTTTAAAATGGAAACTACTATAGTATATTGGGGTTATATTGGGATAATGGAAAAGAAAATGGATGCCACCATTCAGACTGTAGGGTTTCCCAAAATTAGGTGTACCTTGTTGGGGAGTCCCTCGAATGACGGCTATAGTATTTGTAGGGTTCGTATGTGGGTGTCTCGAAATTGGTGGTTCCTTCTTAGGGGTCGATGTCCAAAGAGTTCAAGAATTTTCTTTCAAATCCAGGGGTATACCAAAAATTGAGATGACGTCGGTATACCTGCGCAAGTTCTGAGACAAAGGCTTCTCATCCCTTGTGCCCCCTTACAAAAGAAGTTGACCCTATATCCAGGAGAAGTTGAACCGACACTCCCTGCACAACGAGGTGTCAAATTTGCTCGAACGCACCATGGAACTTGCTTCATGCCAGCTTCTGCTAAGAGATGCAGACCCGACTTTCATCAAGGGGAGACGGGAGACTGCGCGTGATGCATGCGCTCAAGACAACAGATGCATGGATCCATTCGGGCAATAGTAGTAGTAGGAGAATCAAATGGAAAATAAAATGGAACATGATATGGAAACTACTACATTATAATAAGGTGTGTATATATAT